CAAGCCACACACTGCTCGCACCATGGGGACAGGACCTTTCGCACCAATAAATCCCTTCTTGGCCATTTCTACAGTAAAATGCCTCGTTGTTTTCTCCAGCTCCTGTGCAAGCACAAGAAGACACAGTTTTTACTACAGGCCCCAAGAAAAAAATCACAGAGACACGGTGCAGCGTCGGGCAGCTGCCCCACGCTGCCTGTACAGGTCACCCCCTGATGTCTCCAGGGAGTTAATTCTCAGCTGGGGGAGACCCTGGATCATAAAACCAGAGATGTGTGAACTCCTAGTCCCTTTGCTCACTGCCCTTCCAACCCCTCGCTGATGCGCGCCTTCTCCCAGCGCAGCAGGCGAAGCATCCCTGCTCCAGGCTCCTTCGGCGTGTGTCTGGCCCGATGCGCTCACCCCTAAAGCAGAGCTCGCCGCCCCTCTCCCCGCCCCTGGCTGCTGTTCGCAGGCGCTGGGTGAGCGTTACCCACCGGGAACGTTTCCCCCCTCCTGTCAGAGCGCATCGCTGTGATGCGCACGGAGAGGAGAGGCTGTGCAAATGGAGCGTGAGTTATGGGCCGTTGGCGGGGGAAGGAGAGGAGGAAGCTCACCGAGTATTTCCTCAGATCGATCCTCACGCCTGCCATGGCACCACCAAAAGGAACATCTGGAAAAGACCAGGAAAGGTAGACAGATGTTCTCTGCCTGCTCCTTGGGGGAGAAGGTGACCGCAGCAATCGTGACCTTGCAGGTGAATCCAGGCTTCCTCACACTACACGCGGCTCACCCCTAACACCACACGGCCTCCGTGGAGCGGAGCCGAAGGCAGGACGAGATCCGGACACCAACGCCACCAAGCCAGAGCTGAATCCATGACAACCCAGGCACAGGAGCTGCATCTGAGCAGCACAATGCTTGACGCTCCCTGATCAACATGAACATCCTGGACTGCCGGTGGCATATTCTGCAGCCGTGGCAAGCCTTGCCCTCCTCGTCCGTGCCCAGAGGAACATCCTGCACTTCTG